ATAAATTAATCATACGTCTGAAACATCTACCGATCAATGTTCAATAGGGAAGCAGAACATAAATCTTGCAATTTTTAGCCCCATGTTTGAAAGAAAAAAAACAGGATGATTAAGTCCCCCTATCTTCTGTGGCCTGGCAAAGAAGCACAGCAAGATCTGGGCTGAAGGTTGGGTCAGGGACTCTGGGACCATGCAGAACTTTGTCTGCAACATGGACTGTATGTAGCAAGTTTATATTCTGACTCTGTCTTTGCTAGCATCTGCAGGGAACAAGAGTCCTGTTTATGCCCAAGCAAGTCTTCTGCCACTCAAGATCAAGAGTGTTATACTTTGTCATTTCAAAACATAACCATCTAAGACAGTGGTGGCGAATCTTTTAGAGACCGAGTGCCCAAACTGCAACCCAAAACCCACTTATGCATCGTCGGGTGCCGGGTGGGTGTGGCCCATTGGCTGGGTGTGGCCAATTGGGGGTGTGTGGCCCATTGGCTGGGCATGGCAGACTAGGTGGGACTAAAAAGTTCAATCAATCAATTCCAACTTTGCAAGATTTTTTTTTCCCGCAAGAAGTTGAAATTGACTGATTGGTTGAACCTTTTTTTTTTTTGCACACGGCAGTGGAGGCCTAAAGTGAAAAGGTTTTATAAAACCCAGCTGAAGGCCTAGGACTGGGGCGACGGCGCGCGTGCCCACAGAGAGGGCTCTGAGTGCTGCCTCTGGCCCCCGTGCCATAGGTTCGCCACCACTGATCTAAGAGAATAGAGAACCTAAATAAGGGCATACTCATTCTTAACAGTACATTACAAAAATAACCATCAAAGGTTAGATTTACAGACTTACAGATTGATATTAATTGTTGTTGGAAGGGCCATGCCTACTTCTTTACAGGAAAGGATTATCCTTAGTATTATAAACATAAATGAGCAGTCATAGAAGAGAGCTAATCCAGGAGGTATCAATAACTACAGATGGGCTCTATTTGGAATCATCATTTTTTCAAAGCAAGTGGTTAATAATTTTGTTTACTTGATCTTGATTGGGCTAAGCTTCTATCAACTTTGTCAGATCAACGAAGAAACAGGCCCTGTCCAGTGCACTTTGATAGCTTGAAAATAGCTGGGCCAGACCTCCATTTGCTTCTATGACAGATTTGGTCAGCCTTGGTTTCTCTCCTAGCAATCTTTTAAAACGCCCACCCTCAGATTGTTTTTATAAACTTTTGTTTTGTGTAAGTAATAATTGGGAGAATACAGGTACTGATATAGCCTGCCTTGTCAACCGTTTTCCTAAACATTTAAAAGTACTACTCACTACTATATAAAGAGCACACTCCAGAAATATGAGAAATATATATATATATATATGAGCCTGGAAAATAACATTCTTCTGTTCTTAAGCAGTTAGCTATGCAGTATTACATAACAGAACTTCAATTCAAGTGGGCAAATTTCCTTTGGGGGGAATATAGATTTTCACAGATGGGTCTCATTATAAGTTATTTTTTATGACGGTTATTAATCTGACTTCTCTGAAAACAAAACTCATGTAGCAGTGGGTATGAATTGATATTGTGATCTCTCTTCCTTTCCCAGTCATTGTGAAAACATAACTCCTCAGGCTTAGCCAATGACAAGTATAATTTGTCTGCCAAACTTTGTATCTATTAGGCCCTTTGTAGTTATATAAACTGGCAGCAATATAGCATTTTCTGCAAATTGTGCAGTACCTTACCCTGAGAAACTATTGAAATTCATGGTTGGAAGAGGTGAATAAAGTAAAGCATTGTGTTTAGCGAATGGTAATTACTGAAAAACACTACTGCATATAACGCGCAAAAACTAAATCACCATAGAAAATTCCAATTCTTTAATATCTTTCTCACCAAAGAATGCCAACCATTTTTGATATAGTACAAAAAAAGAAAATAATGCAGAAAAAACAGACATGGAAAATTGAAAAACCAACTGTGATTCCCCAACTTGGGAAGGAAGCCTATAAAACAGCGGCTCCCAACCTTTTATATGCCCCGCACCCCTAGAACGCTTTTGATATATTCTTGCACCCCTTACAAAAGTTCAAAATAACGGCGACAAATTATGCTTATACACTATAATTTTGAAAACCCAAATTTTCGCCCCTCCTGGAATATCATCTCGTACCCGTGGTTGGGAACCCTTGCTTTAAAGCAGGGGTAGTCAACCTTGGCTCTTTTATGACTTGTGGACTTCAACTCCCAGAATTCCTGAGCCAGCTAAGCTGGCTCAATTCTGGGAATTGAAGTCCACAAGTCATAAAAGAGCCAAGGTTGACTACCCCTGCTTTAAAGTCTTCAGAAAGGTTACAAAAAGGGAAAGAGCGTCATTTAAAACCATAAAGCCAAAACAAGTTCTTTGGGTAAGGGATTGTGGCAAATAGTAAAGGGGTAGGAAAGCAAACACAAGAAAACTAAGTCTAGAGAAAAACATAAGATGTGTAGAACTGTTGCAGAGAAGGACTGGGAAATGTAATTTCTGAGGAAACAGTAAAAAGCAAATCATAATAAATGAGTTGAATCATTACCAAGGCTCATTGACAAGGAACACTAATGGCATGAGGGCACTGAAGTAGCTTGGCACAGCACAATGGGGAAGTACGAAAAGGCGAGACTAAGCTCATTAATGTAGAGAAGGGCTATAGGAAGAGACCCCTACATCTGTACAAAAGAGTTATCACTGTAGGACACAAGTACAAAGATAGCATAAAAACTACAGAATCAGTAGTTTCCTACAGAAAACTCTGTCAACGTAGTGCAGAAGCAAGAAAATGGGTGTCCTCTGGATTTGAGGACTTGAGCAGCCACAATTTCCAGCCAATGGAAGCCAAGAGTGTTGGCCAAAGTTATCTATTTCTCGTTTGTCCTTTCAAAAGGTGGCTGTTTCACGGGATGATGTTGTGAATAAATGAGTAGGAAATCAAAATAATCCCCGAAAAGATTGCCCAATGGAAGAGTGGAGAAGAATCTAAAAGTAACACGGGGGATTGTAGAAGATGTTTTCTATGAGGGGGAAGCTATGGATGGCTTCTAATTGTTGGACTGGTAGAGTTTATTTATTTATAAATTTATTTGCTGCCCATTTCATATCCAATGACTCTGGGCCGCTTATAACACAGAAAGCTTACAACATAGATTTGAGATTGTCAGAACAATCTGATGAGGCTTAAGACAGACTCTCAGGGCAAGATTCCTACTGTAGGTGTGGTGTACCTAAAATGAGGTACCAACCACAGGAATGACCTCACACAGAGTCTTGCAGAAGTTCGCACACCGTTAGTGTTTCTCAACTTTGACAACTTTAAGCTGGGTTCACTTCAGCTCTCAGAAATCCCCAGCCATCTTGGCTGGGAAATTTGGGGACTTTAAGTCTACACATCTTAAAGTTGCCAAGGTTGAGAAACACTGCACTGGAGAATAAAGAACCATGGTGGGAGCAGTAGACCCAGGAGAATAAAATGTTTTCCCCGTCTATCAGGGCAACCTGGTCTACCCAAACATGGGACGGAGCATACTGCTCCCGTTCGCCTTTCAGCCCCAATCTAGGAGCCTTCGCAGGCAGTCGCATTCTGTGACCAACTATGTTTTTGTGTTAAACTTTAAATTTACTGACAAAGGGCTAAAGGGAGGCTATCCTAGTCTCCCTCTTCGTCGGTAAATTTAAAATTTAACACACCCAAGACTTCCATTGGGTGCAGGTGTCCAAGCTTGAAGGGCAGACCGGCCAAGTGCGCATACATGGGAGGCTTCAGGAAAGGCAATTCGGTCCACAGACCACACTGTTCCTTGGAGAAAAGCTAAAAAACTGAAGAAGAAGAAAAGCTAAAAGGCTAAAAAGCTGCTCTCAGAATTGTGGCTTAAGTTAAGTGAGAGAGAAGCTCCTCCAAAACAGGCTTACAATCTGAATCAGGAACCAAAAAGGGACTTAACTGACTTAAGGCTCCTTCACTACCTTATCCAAGGTGGGTCACAAACCTCTTAGTAGTCCCTCCAGTAGCCAGGGCTTTTCAACCAGTGGTACGGGTACCACCTGTGGTACATTGGCACCTGGCAGGTGGTACGCGACCATCCTAGAAAAGTGGTAGCGGGGGAGGGGAATGGGAGCGCCGCCGGGCGGCAGGCAGGTGTCTTGCTCGGCTGTGACTTGGGGGCACTTTTTTCAGTGCCATTGTAACTTCGAACAGTCACTAAGCGAACTGTTGTAAGTCGAGGACTACCTGTACTTCATCACTTTTTTCCTTTTTTTGTTTTTGGGTCATCAAGTTTTTGACCCCTTGCTGGGCGACGGGTGGTCCTCGGATGTTGCCATATCCTAAAAGTGGCACAATGGGTGAAAAGGTTGAAAAGCCCTGCAGTAGACCAACTATTCTCCCCCCAACCTGGTGCTCTCCAGGGGCAGAGGACTACAAAGCCAATCCCACCAAGCCAGCATCCTGCAGATCAGGCCAGCTGCAGTCCTGGAGTCGGGAAAGGAAACCCAGAGGAGGCAGGCCCCCTTCCTCAGGGCCACAAGGGCCCCTCCAGAGCTTTGGCGTCGGGGGGGGGGAAGTGAAGTGGGGAAAGGTACCCCGCAAGCAAGCAGCCTGCATCACAACTCCCATGCTTCCCTCCCGCTCTTATCGAGGGGCTCGCAGAGCCGCGGGAGGGGGTCGAGGCCGCCGAAACGACCCTCCGGGCCGGCTGGGGATGATGGGAAGGGGCTCCCCGCCGCTTCTGAAGGCGCTGGCCGGGAAGGGAAGCCCGGCGGGTAGGGGAGGCGGCTCCGGGCAGCCGCCGGGGCTCTGGAAAGGCTCCGGCTGGGCCCGAGGGCAGCTGAGGAGGAGGAGGAGGGCGGCGGCAGGCCCGGGGGCAGCGGCCGGGTCCACCCCTCGCCTGAGGGGAACGCGTCGGCCGGGACCGACCGGGCGGCTCCTGGGCGCCGCTGACAGGCCAGGCCAGGCCGGGCCGGACGAGCCAGGTGCGGCCCTACCTGCCGTAGATGCCCTCCGTGATGCGGTTCCGCTTCAGCGGCCGCCGGAGCTTGCTGCAGTCGGCGCTCCGGCGCTTCATCCTCCTGCCCGCCCGGCTCGGCGAGTCCCAAGCTGGCCTGCTGGCGGCGGCGACGGCGGCGGCGGCTGCTCCTCCTGCCCCGCCCGGCTCACGGCGACAACATCCGAGCGCGCCGGCCCGCGCGGAGGCCCGGAAAGACTCCCGCTCCCGTTCGGCGCTCCGGCTCTGCGCCTCCCCGCCCCTTCCTCCCTCCCCTCTTTTCCCCCTCTCGGAAACAAAGAAATAAAAAATAATTTCAGATCCGTCCCTCCCCGCCGCCGCGGCCCCGCGCGCAGGCTCCACGCCTCGCCCCGCCTCCTCCCAAGCCGAGGCCAATCGGCGGCAGGCCAAACATAAGGGCGATGCGGGGAAGGGATCAATCAGCGCGGGGCGAGGGCTGAGAGAGGCGGGCGCGCCGGCCAATGAAAGGAGCAGCAAGCGACCGCCCGCCCCTTCTTAAGATGACGAGAACCGCCCAGTCGCGCGAACCAGCGTCCTGAAGGTCCGTGAAAGGATTGAAGATTGAAGAGCAAGGTGTCCAATCCTGGGGCGGAGTTAGAGTGGGGGGGCGGGGCAAGCTCAATATTTCCCAATGGAAGAGAAAGAAAGGTGTGTGTTTTTTTTCCCCCCCTTCGATCTCATCCTTTGGTATGGGATTAGGGTACGGCCCTCTACGATTGATTGACGTCAATGCTGGCCAATAAACTCCTCCCGTCAACCGTGACCAGACGAGGCAAAGAAGAATGCTCCCGCTACTTTCTAAAAGAGGCTCGCGGACGGATCCGCCCACTTACAAAAGTGATGATACGTTTAGCCAATGAAGATGGCGCTCGACAGAAAGGGCACCGAAGGCGACCAATAGCGTTCTGGAGTAAGTGGGACTGGGCGTAATAGCCGTGCAAAGTGTCCTGGGAAATTGAGTCTTGGCCAATCGGGGTGGGATTTTCCCCTCTGTAGCCTTTTGTTAAGGTGGCTGCGTATCTATACGAACTGGAGAAGCTTTGCGGTGGTTTCACTCCACCCCCGCCTACTTCTCAAATTTTCCCATTCCTTTGGAGCAGTGTTTCTCAACCTTGACAATTTTAAGGCATGTGGACTTCAACTCCCAGAATTCCACAGCCAGCAATGCTGGCTGTGGAATTCTGGGAGTTGAAGTCCACATGCCTTAAAATTGTCAAGGTTGAGAAACACTGCTGGAGTCTGCATAAGTGTGTTCCTTTTTCAAAATGCCTATTTATCTTCCCCATCCTGAACAGTTTTATTGGGAACTAAGTTGGATCAGGTTTGAGAGAAGGATTTCTCTTGGGTGTAAAATATTTAAGTGTTACTCAGAAGTTTACTCCTGAAAAAAAAAGTATCTGTGGGGTTTATTTCTGAATCAATCATTTATAGGATTGGGAGGAGCTAAGAAAAATACACAGGCAATGAAAAAGCAAGGCGTTTTTTGCATTTACAGCAAAATAAATACATCCCTCTCTTCACTAGCAAACGGACATGCTGAGAGAGTGGCTTAAGAAATATACTGCAGAAACAGTCCAATAAACCAACATAGAAAGGACTTGTAGGAGAATGAAGGATCTCAAAAGAAGAAACCTAAACTACTGTGGCATGGAGTTCCACCGACTGGTTGCCCATGCAGAAAAGGACATACGGCTTTTCCCTGATGCTGCAACAAAAAGCTACGAGTAAGCATGGAGAGAATGTTACTCTGAGCTTACTCCATCGTGAAAGGGTAAAATGTGAATGTAATCTATGAGGAAACACCTTATATTTTGAGGAAACACCATATATGTTGACGTAACAGATGTAAGTCAATTATTGTCACTGAAAGAATTTATTTGCAGAAACTTATGTATGGAAAAGACTTATAGTCAATAATATAAAGGTTTCTGCTCCAAGGAAGATAATTTCCGGCAATGATGTTTTTTCATCTCATGGTTTTCTTCCTTTGCTAGAGCTGACATTGCCACTGGCTTTATTTTAGACTGCTTGAAAGCTGTCAAGGAGGCTCCTTCAAAAGCCAAGCATAGCAGTGATGATTCCATGTCATATTCTAGAGCAGGGGTGTCAAACTGCCGGCCCGTGGGCCAGACGCATCATCCCAAAACCTACCCACCCTATTGCCGGCAATGGAGAAAAAGCTCCGATATGTCACGTGACGTCACATGATGTCACGAGTTTGACATGCCTGTTCTAGAGGCTTGTGAAGAGAAGGACAGAATCTGGAGAGTGGCCCCTGAAGTTTAATAATGCACTACAGGTTGTCCTTGTTTAGCGATCATTTGCAGATGTTGACAAAAAAGTAACCTTAGGACCAATCGTCTTCACCTTTACACCTTTACAGGTCTGTAGAGCAAAGTAAAGCTAAAATAACATTGTAAACACAGTTGTGGTTTTGTATAATGGCTTATTTGCTTAATCACAAACTTGCCAATCGTAGTTGGTCACTAAATGATTACCTGTAACCAGAATTTATGCAAGTCCATAATAAGTTATTTGTAATGATTGGCTCATACACTTTGCATATACTGTACAGGTAGTCCTCAACTTATGACCACAACTGATCTCAAAATTTGTTGCTAAGGGAGACATTTGTAAAGTGAGTTTTGCCCCATTTCACGACCTTGCCTCAGTTAAGTGAATCACTGCAGTTGATAAGTTAGTAACCCGGTTGTTAAGTGAATCTGGCTTCCCCCATTGACTTTGCTTGTCAGAAGGTCGTAAAAGGGGAAATCACGTGACTCCATGACTCTGCAACGGTCATAAATATGATCCAGTTGCCAAGCATCTGAATTTTGATCACGTGACCCTGGGGATCTTGCAATGGTTGTAAGTGTGAAAAATGGTCATAAGTCAATTTTTTCCGGTGTTTCGGTGTTTTTTTCGGTCAATTTTTTGAACAGTCACTGAATGAACAGTTGTAAGTCAAGGACTGCCTGTATATAGGTTGCAAAAAAAAAATCAACCAGAGCATTTGCTGAGTTCTTCTTGGTTTAGTGAGAACTGCTTAAATGCACATCAATTTTGGAACTTTGCTTTTGCTCCGGGGAGGAATTAGCCAGGAACATGCAATTTACATTATCATTGCGCTTGTCTCCTCCGAGTTCAAGTAAGTGCACGTATGTCAGGCTCTCAAAGTTGATGAGAATATATAAGTGTCTATTTCTGGGAGTTTTCAATAGTACACATTTTGGTGCAATTCCCATGATTGTATACCATCAGCTTGCTCAATACTAATCAAACATCTGTCAGTACAGGTCAGGCGGTCCCCTGGCCTGTCTTAGATTAGAGTTATGTGCTTTGCTAATTCCTTCTAAGAACTCTTATCACCTTCACAGCTTTCTCTTTTCTTTTTTTTTTCAGGGAGACTTGTGGAATGTTTGAACCAAAGGGACTGTATTAACTCTTGCCTGCTCCTTGGTTTGTTGCCTTCTTCTTAAGCCAGGATGTCTTCCCAGTATCCTCCCAATCTCCGGATTCGTCTCCCTGTGCTCATTCTTCTTTTGGAAGCTGCTTTCATCCTTGTATTTGGCTTCTTTGTTTCTTACGAGCAGAGTCAAAACCTTACAAGAGACTATCCAGGTAAGACTGCTTCCTGTTGGGGTTGAAGGCTGTCTTCTGTGGCAATGGAAGGTTAAGTAATAATAATAATAATAAAGTTGGAAGGGACCTTGGAGGTCATCTAGCCCAACCCCCTGCTCAGGCAGGAAACCCTATACCATTTCAGACAAATGGTTGTCCAGTCTCTTCTTAAAAACCTCCAGTGTTGGAGCATTCACCGCTTCTGGAGGCAGGTTGTTCCACTGGTTAATTGTTCTAACTGTCAGGAAATTTCTCCTTAGTTCTAGGTTGCTTCTCTCCTTGATCAGTTTCCATCCGTTGCTTCTTGTCCTGCCTTCAGGCGCCTTGGAGAATAGCTTGACTCCCTCTTCTTTGTGGCAGCCCCTGAGATATTGGAATACTGCTATCCTGTCCCCCCTCGTCCTTCTCTTCATTAAACTAGACATACCCAATTCCAGCAGCCTTTCCTTATATCTCAGGGGAATTCCTCCACTCCCCCCTCCTCCCCCAGGCTCTTGGGCTGACTCTTGCAGCTTCTGAGCTGTGAGGAATTCAGCACTGTTAATTGGGTACAGCCCCAGTTGGGAGGAAAGGGTACAGTTAAAGATATAGTGCAAATCTCCTTCATCTTTCGGTAAAATTGAGGGAGATGCATGGTTGAGGTCCTGAAGAGTCTTTGGCACAAACTAGACATGCATGGTCCAAATTTGAGGGTAGCCTCTGCTCTCCAAAACCTCAGATTTGTCCCCTCCCCAGCCTTTTGCCAAATTGCTATCAGATTCTACTTTTTAAAATGGAGGGTGAAATTACTTGCTATTTATTTATATCCCATCTTCGTATTTTTTTTATGAATCATTCAAAATGACAGACATATCTAATACTCCCTGCTATTTTTCCCCTCCAGAACAGCCCTGTGAGGTGGGCTGGGCTGAGCGAGAAGAACTGGCCCAAAGTCACCCTGCTGGCTTTCATGCCTAAGGCCATACTAGAACTCACAGTCTCCTGGTATCTGGCCCGGTGCCTTCACCACCAGACCTAACTAGCGTCGTTTTAATTGAATTGTATTTGCTTTAAATTAATTCTTATCTAGTTTTGGTACTGATTCCTTGCCATGTCTGCTATTCAAAGTCAAATGCAATACTTGGCCCAAAAGGAGTTTTGTAGGGCCAAGCAGTTTGGTTGCATTAAAGCAATTTCCTTTGCTCGTAGTTAACATGGTAGGGTATAGATCTGGAGCCCAGGGCACCTCAAGGGCGCCTGCTATGCGATCAAAAGTGTCAAGATGATGCATACCACCCTGGCACATCGTTTCCGTTCAAAAGTCCCACATTCAACTCCCTGACTATGACTGAACTGAAGACACCAAAGCCCGAGTTAAGACTAGGAAGCTTCTAACGTGACATAATTAATTGCTGCTAAAGAAGGGGTAGTGGTTTTAATATCAGGCCATTTAGAAAGAGGTAGCCAGCCACAAGGCCTCCAGGCTCAGAAAAACTTGCTTCGTTCTAATGGAACTGTTTTGGAGTACAGCAGCATAGAAAGGCCTGTGAGATATCAATATATAAGGCAGGTATATATAGTACTACAACTTGAATTAAATTACAGCTGGGCAGGAAATATCCCAATAGTCATTAGATGGCAGCAAATCCTCTAACGCTTTGCTGCCCTCTAGTGGCTTTCTGCAGCTTGCAGCCCAGATCTGGAACTAACCACAATAAAATAATGATTTCAGACAACAGTAGTACGGTGGTGGTAGTAGTAGTAGTAGTAGTAGTAGTAGTAGTAGTAGTAGTAGTAGTAGTAGTAGTAGTAGTAAGTGTCTAGGGAGATTCTCCATAGTAGTAGTAGTACTACTAGTAATAGCACCACCAGCAGTAGCAGCGTTTCTGGGGAAGACAGCTGGGTAAAGAGGCTTATCTTCACTCTTTCCATAAAAGTCATACTTAGCAAAAGCCATTTGATGCATAGCATAGGACAGTGATGGCGAACCTATGGCACGCATGCCAGAAGCGGCACTCAGAGCCCTCTCTGTGGGCACACCTGCCGCCACCGCTACCGCCAGCTCACGCAGGTCCATTAGGCCACCGCTGGTGCCCGGAGTGGCAGCCCCACCCACACAAAGGAGGCGAAGCAGCTGGCTAGCAAGCTCGAGTAGAGGTGGTAGAGCACGCCCCCCCCATGCGCTCGCTGGCCTCTGTGTGCGGGGGCTGATGGTGTCAGGCAGCAGCTGCCCCCGCCTCGCCTCGCAGCAATGGCACCCCCACCCTACCCCCTGCCTCACCCTGCAGGACGAGCCTCCTGCCCACTGCCCCACCTACCAGAGACCCCCTGGATCTCCCCCAATCCTGCCACGCCCACCCAGTGGGCCACGCCCACCCCCAAGGGCACCACAATGCTGATGCGGCCCTGGCACTTTGCGATAAATAAGTGGGTTTTGGGTTGCGGTTTGGGCACTTGGTCTCTAAAAGGTTCGCCATCACTGGCATAGGATGATTGTGCTAGGAGAAGTAAGCCAATATTGCAGCTGAGTTCACACACTTCGATAAGCTGTGATGTGGTTTGTCTGGTTTTGATTTAATTTCCCAGTCTTGGCAACTTCCAAACGCCTGGATCTCTCCACCCAGAATTACCTTTTCAACTCCTTGCTAAGAAGTTAGTTATCAGATGGGCAGCTGTATAAATGTTTTAAATAAATAAAAGTTCAGGTGTCTGGAAGTTGCCAAAGTTAAGCAAACGTTTCATGAAAGTTTTGAACTCTCCCACTGCAGTAGGAGAACCATGCTTTATGACTTAGCTGTATGTGCAAATTGGGCTACTGCATGAATCATGGTTGCAGCACACTCTGGCTTACAGCACAGAGCCTTCATTTTTTTTGAATGAAGAAAGGGATATGGGAGTGAGTGATGTGTATGTATTTATAAATGTGTACATACATATGTAGGACAGAGAGCATGTAAGGACCCACCCCACTTTACATCTTAAGAAGACAGAACTCTTGGAATATCTCTTCCAACAGGCATCTTTATTAAGAGAAGATGGTTGCAGGCGTTCTAGACAGGATCTGAGGAGTTCTCTCCCATCCTTCAATGTTTTAAGTGTTCCCAAGCAGCCCCCACCCCACAGTTCTTCCGGCGACGATCACTCATCCTCTTTTCCCAGATTCTAGGCGCTGCATTGTCCCCCCACTTTTCCCTTACTGCCGGCAAAAGGAAGACTTCAGAGAGCTGAGTAGATGAAAGGCAATGGCCATATTGTTATGGTCAGTCCTCTTGATGGGAATCAACATCCAGTCCTTTTGTAGTTTACTGAAGGAAGTGCGAGCCATAAAAAACCCCTGCTCATCCCCCTTCCCCTTCATCGTAGTGTGACAGAATCCAGAGAGGGCAGAAATGGGTTTTTTTTCCATAGTAGATAACTAGAAATGAAATATAATTGGATTCTGACAGAGCAGTATGTTCCTTGCGCTTTCCTGAACATAGGTGTGCACAGGCAGGCCTTTTCTGCCTGTTACATGGGGTGCCTAGGATCCAAAACCTGAAAGTCCATGTGTCCTTTGGCTTAAGATCCAATTGACAGATAGCATCAAGCTGTGATTGGATTGATGCTTCACTGTGAGCCAGGGGTGGGGAACGATGGCCCCTTTAGGACCTGTGAACTTCAACTCCCAGAATTCCTGAGCCAGTTAGGCTTTCATTCCCCACCCTTGCTCTAAGCCAGTGGTTCTCAACCTGTGGGTCGGGACCCCATTTGGGGTCGATCGACCATTTCACGGGGGTCGCCAAGCAAGCCGCCATTTTTTTTGTCCGCCATTTTTTCCGCTTTTCCGGCGGGTGCCTTACCTCCCTTGGACTGGGCCAGCTGATGGTCGGCCTGCTCCGTCTCTGCCGCTTGCCAGCTACGCCTCGGCCGGCGCAGGGGGCGGAACCACGCATGCACGGCGCTCCCGGACAGGGAAAGTCCTCGACTTACGACCGGTTGGGGTCGCGGCATTAAAAAGGTTGAAAACCACTGCTCTAAGCCATGATTTGTGAATAAATTGCTATGTCTGGGATTATGCGCCAAGCTGAGTTGAAACCAAACAAACCACATTAAGGCTCAGTATGACGGGGAGCGTACAGCTGGGTCTGCTGAAGATGGGTTTGCCCGTGCCATCTTGACAACAAGTGTTCCGTGTTCCCTACAGTATTTCAAGATGTCAGCCTCATGGTGATTTTCGGCTTCGCCTATTTTCTGGCCTTCCTGCAGAGATATGGCTTCAGCAGCATTGGATTCAGCCTCCTTCTTGCTGCCCTCGGAGTTCAGTGGGCCGTGATCGTCGATGGATTCCTCTTCCACTTCTCAGCTGGGAAAATAAGGATCAATCTGCAAAGGTAGAGGTCAAAGGTCACGGAGCTTGGTTCTCCTGCTAGGAATTCTGCCTGCCTCACCTCATAGGGTTAAGGGAAGAAGAGGAGGGAGGAGCATTGTGTGTGTTCATTACCTTGAGTTACCTATAGAAGCAGGATAAACATCTAATTTAAAAAAAAGTCCAGGGATTTCAGTGGGAACTTCCACAGGGTGTTCTTTGCGCCATTCTAGAATCAGCTCTGGAGAATAAACCTTAGGCCAGGGGTAGGCAACCTTGGCTCTTTTATGACTCGTGGACTTCAACTCCCAGAATTCCTGAGCCAGCCGTGCTGAGGGGAAAGGGAGAGGTTTCCAAGCTGAGCCAGGCTGGCTCAGGAATTCTGGGAGTTGAAGTCCACAAGTCATAAAGCAGCCTAGGCCTAGGCCAGAGGTAGGCAACCTTGGCTCTTTTATGACTCGTGGACTTCAACTCCCAGAATTCCTGAGCCAGCCGTGCTGAGGGGAAAGGGAGAGGTTTCCAAGCTAAGCCAGGCTGGCTCAGGAATTCTGGGAGTTGAAGTCCACAAGTCATAAAGCAGCCTAGGCCTAGGCCAGAGGTAGGCAACCTTGGCTCCTTTATGACTCATGGACTTCAACTCCCAGAATTCCTGAGCCAGCCATGCTGAGGGAAAAGGGAGAGGTTTCCAAGCTGAGCCAGGCTGGCTCAGGAATTCTGGGAGTTGAAGTCCACGGGTCATAAAAGAGCCAAGGTTGACTACCCCTGCCTTAGGCATTGTTTTCTATGTTCTGCAACTGAGCCAGTTAATGTCCAATAGATGGGAATTCTGGCAATTTCCCTGCTCTCGGTGAGGGAATGGTAAAAAAAAATAGTAAAAAAAAATGGTACAAAAATGGCCACAACAGTGCAATTGAAGCTCCATTTGTTTTTTTTTATGTGTGAGGTACATAAACAACAGAGCTTCAATCTCACCACGGTGGCTGCCATCTTAATCCCCCCCTCCCTCCCCATATCTTGTGAACATTCCTGGGTTGGGTGGCAGAAAAGCTCACTGTTATAAAAATGGTGTGGTAGAATGTTAGTCCAGAATCGCAGGAGCGAAAGGCTTTTTTCCTGAGGGCAAAGAGACAGAGGAGTTTGGAATGTCTGGCAGGCAGGAAGAGGGTGAAGATGGACCCTCCCTATCAACTCATTGTTGTTAGTTGTGAAGTCGTGTCCGACCCATTGCGGCCCCATGGACCCCAATGTTTCTCCAGGCCTTCCTGTCCTCTACCATCTTCTGGAGTCCATTTAAGCTCACACCTCCTGCTTCAGTGACTCCATCCAGCCACCTCCTTCTCTGTCGTCCCCTTCTTCTCTTGCCCTCAATCTTTCCCAGCATTAGTCTTTTCTCCAGGGAGTCCTTCCTTCTCATTAGGTGGCCAAAGTACTTGAGTTTCAACTTCAGGATCTGGCCTTCTAAAGAGCAGTCGGGGTTGATCTCCTCTAGGACTGACCGGTTTGATCGCCTTGCAATCCAGGGGACTCGCAGGAGTAATCCCCGTCATGGATGACTGCCTTGTCGTGGCGAAGGGGCTTGCGTAACTCAATGAAGCTATGAGCTATGCCGTGCAGGGCCACCCAAGACGGACAGGTCATAGCAGAGGACAAATGGCTGTCCAGTCTCTTCTTAAAAACTTCCAGTGTTGGAGCATTCACCGCTTCTGGAAGCAGGTTGTTCCACTGGTTAATTGTTCTCACTGTCAGAAAGTTTCTCCTTAGTTCTAGGTTGCTTCTCTCCTTGGTTAGTTTCCATCCGTTGCTTCTTGTCCTGCCTTCAGGCGCTTTGGAGAATAGCTTGACTCCCTCTTCTTTGTGGCAGCCCCTGAGATATTGGAAGACTGCTATCCTGTCCCCCCTCGTCCTTCTCTTCGTTAAACTAGACATCCCCAATTCAGCAGCCGTTCCTTATATGTTTTAGCCTCCAGTCCTCTAATCATCTTTGTTGCTCTTCTCTGTACTGTGGATTGAGTCTGAAATGCTTAACCGAGATACAGAACTGAGGATAGTGTTGGGGGGACCTTGATTTGACGTCTTTGGTTTATTCCAAGCCATTTTCTTTTTTCAATTGCTGGAGTAAGGAAAGAGATTTGCTCTGATTCATCTTTTGATCAAACCTCCCAGCGAAGGTGTTTGTGGGGGATTAAAATAAAAATCCGGATGGGGGCCACAATCACGCAGTCAAGCCCTGCCTGTTTTTAGGGTTGCCATCTTGACTTTTTTTTTGACACCCCCCCCCCACTTCATCCCTCATGGTCATCCCTGAAGAATTCCTTCAAGGGTTGAATTGCTGAGAGGCAAAGCAGCCAGTCAGTCTAAAGCAGGGGTCTTCAAACTTGGCCCTTTTATGCTTGTGGACTTCAACTCCCAGAATTCCTCAGCCAGGCACATGTGCCTGGCTGAGGAATTCTGGGAGTTGAAGTCCACAAGTCATAAAAGGGCCAAGTTTGAAGACACCTATCTTAAATCTAACAAACAAAACGGAGGCTGGCTGAGGAATTCTGGGAGTTGAAGTCCACAAGTCCTAAAAGGGCCACGTTTGAAGACCCCTGACCTAGAGAATTAGCTTGGGAAATTAATTGGTTCTGGCTCTTAGTAAATTTGACCTTGACAAATACAGTGCTAAGCCTGAGTATCTTCTATAAAAGTATCTGGCAAGGATAAAGAGTTAAAACACCAAGGTATTCACAGGAACTTGGAATCTTATTATAGACGTTAATGTCTATACACACAGTACAGAGAAATGCTAACTTCAGTTAACCTTTCATAATTGAGCAAAAAATCTTATTGTGTTTTTGTTTGAAAACATTACATCACAGACTGAGCCAATCTATATATTCTCCCCATGTGTCCACTGAGTCACATTTCTAAAATAAACAGAATAATTCCAAATTTGGGGAAAGATGCAGCAGCAGCAGCAGCAAGGCTAAGAGGGATCTTACATAATCGCAGGATGAATGTGGTCATCAGTTACAGTATTTCTTTAGGAATGTCTAAACAATCTACTTGTTCCTGATATAAGCCCCCCCCCTCAGATCAGTGGGACTTCTGCACATTTAAAATTGCAGCGGGATTAGCCGGAAGAGATAGAAGGCTTCAGCATTCAATCCTTGTCAACTGGAGATTTCAACTTGCAGAATCCTGATAGGCAAAGATCAGTATTTAGCAACCCCTTATCTTTTATTCCTTCTCAAACTGTCAATTTTCTTCAGTTATATCAGCTCTGAAGAAACTCAGCACAGTGTAGTTAAAGACCTGTGTTGAGTTTTACATTTCAAACTTCCTGAAAACGTGCACATTTTAATAGGGGTTAATGTATGGATGTGAAAGTTGCAATGTATGGATGTGAAAGTTGGACCATAAGAAAGGCTGAGCGCCAAAGAATTGAGGCCTTTGAACTCTGGTGCTGGAGAAGACTCCTGCAAGTCCCCTGGACTGCAAGGCGATCAAACCGGTCAGTCCTAGAGGAGATCCACCCTGACTGCTCTTTAGAAGGCCAGATCCTGAAGTTGAAACTCAAATACTTTGGCCACCTAATGAGAAGGAAGGACTCACTGGAGAGGAGCCTAATGCTGGGAAAGATGGAGGGCAAGAGAAGAAGGGGATGACAGAGAATGAGGTGGCTGGATGGAGTCACTGAAGCAGGAGGCGTGAGCTTCAATGGACTCCAGAAGATGGTAGAGGACAGGAAGGCCTGGAGGAACGTTGTCCATGGGGTCGCAATGGGTCAGTTAACAACAACAAAAACAAAAACAAAACAAAATGGGGATAGACAGAATGGATTTGGGGATGAATTCAGACCAAGGAAACCTGGAGGAATACAGACCAGCTGGGAAGCTGACAGCCTGGGTTTGAGATCTGAGCGCTGCTCAATGAGGTGAGCTCCCGTTACTTGCCCCAGCTCTTGTCTACTTAGCAGTTCAAAAGCATGCAAATACAAGTAGGGAAACAGGCACCACTCTGGTGGGAAAGTAACAGCGTTCCATGCACCTTGGCGTATAGTCATGCTGGCCACATGGCCGTGGAAATGTCCTTGGACAGTGATGGCGAACCTTTTAGAGACCGAGTGCCCAAACTGCAACCCAAAACCCGCTTATGTATCGTTGGGTGCTCGGTGGGTGTGGCCCATTGGGTGGGTGTGGCCCATTGGGTGGGCGTGGCTGCGGTGATAACAGCAGACTGGGTGGGACTAAAAAGTTCAATCAATCAATTCCAACTTTGTGAGATCTTTTTTTTTTCCCGTGAGAAGTTGAAATTGACTGATTGAACCTTTTTTTTTTTGCACACGGCGGCAGAGGCCTAAAGCGAAAAGGTTTTATAAAACCCAGCTGAAGGCCTAGGACTGGGGCGACGGCGCGTGTGCCCACAGAGAGGGCTCTGAGTGCCGCCTCTGGCACACGTGCCATGGGTTCACCACCACGGTCCTTGGACAATGTTGGCTCCCTTAGCTAAAAAACAGAGATGAGCACTGCCCTCTAGAACAGGGTTGGGGACCCCTGCTCTAGAACCAGAGATGACTGGAGAGGGAAAAACTTTACCGTTATTTTACAGATCAAGGAGACCCAGAGAGGCTGGCTGGACTTTTGGCATGAACCTAGGGGTGTCAGGTTGCGGGGGGGAGGAGAAGCAGGAGACCCACAGGGGTGGGTTGAAGCCCTACCCCCTTTTACATCCGTAACATTTCTTTGAGGCCTATAAAAGGGGTGGGTGGGTTTCAGTTGCATGGCTGTAGCCCCCCTCTTGATTTTTTGACTCCCTGTGGACATCCCTGGGAAGAAGCCCACCGTGGACTGCCACCATGAGTTCCTATGCATCTAACTGCCCCTCTGCCAATGGCAACCACTGTTTTCACCGCCTCCAAAGGGTGGCTTCCTTCCAAACCATTGAACCCAAGAGGCAATGAGTCTGATTAAATATTAGCTTTGCACAGATGCCCATCTTATTTATGATTTCAAAACTAATGACCCTGTCTCCCTTTTAATGAGGCACTCCATCTTCTTCCCTCATAGATTACACTTCAGTCCCCATGCATTTGCCCCAGAATGTGTGGGTGAGTGGATTAATGTATGTGCACATCCCCATGAAGGCAGCTCCTGCTATTTGCATCTCATCAGTAGCCTAAACTGCTTTTGACACCTGTAAAAAAAAAAAAAGTCAAATTCCTTTCTGTTCAAAACAATGCCAACAATGCGCGTAAATTGTTCTGGGTTTTTTTTTTCTCTTTTAATGGTCTCGTCTTAGGCGTCAAAAGACAAAATGAGCCCTTTCAGGGTCAAGAACCAAATTTAAGGTTTGGAATGAGATGAGGGCTGCTCTGGATTTGGGGCTATGATGCGAGAGGCTGTTATGTACTTTACGCCAATCTATTTTTAACATCTCCCCCTAGCTTTGAGAGAACAGTGTTCCTCCAAATGCAAACGGTTCCTCATCCATCTTCGCAAGTTTGCAAACTGTTCTGTTACAACTGAGCAGTCATTTTCGAAAATAAGGGTTCTGATTGATCAGGGGCACTGTGACGTTCATTACACCATCATCAATATAGGGACGTACTGATTTCTTGTGGTTACAGGATCATCACAGGTTTACAATGTATGTAACAGTTGTATTATTAGGATTCTTAATTCTGTAAATACACTTCTGAGGGAACGTTAGCTTAAGGCAATGTTTCTTAACCTGGGCATCTCCCAGAATTCCCCTGGCTCTGGAATGCACACTCATTCAGAAAATCACAATAGGAAAAGCAGAAAACTCTAGATCTGATTGGAAAAGAATCTCACCATCTAAAAAAATCCTGCTGATGATCTTCTTCTTCTTCTTCTTCTTCTTCTTCTTCTTCTTCTTCTTCTTCTTCTTCTTCTTCTTCTTCTTCTTCTTCTTCTTCTTCTTCTTCTTCTTCTTCTTCTTCTTCTTCTTCTTCTTCTTCTTCTTCTTCTCCTCCTTCTCCTCCTTCTCCTCCTTCTCCTTCTCCTTCTCCTTCTCCTTCTCCTTCTTCTCCTCCTTCTCCTTCTCCTTCTCCTTCTCTTTCTTCTCTTCTCCTTCTCCTTCTCCCCCTCTCTCTGTCTGTCTCTGTCTCTGTCTCTCTTTCTTCCCACCAGCATTTTAACTGCTATTATGAGCATCACCACAGTGTTGATTTCAACTGGAGCAATACTTGGCAAAGCCAATCTCATGCAGTTGATCTGGATGGATGTGGTGGAAGTGACCGTCTTCACCGTCAATAGATGGGTGGCTGTGACTATTCTGCAGGTACAAAGCTGTCCTTTTGCAGAATTTATTCAAACCTAGTTTGCCTAGTAGTTCATACTTCACGTTATTTTATAACGTGTATCATTATTGACTGGTCAGGTTAACCAATCATTGGGCAACTTGATTTTGACTTTGCGTACAGTGTAAACAGGATACAGGTGGTCCTCAATTTACAACCACAATTAAGACCAAAACGTACGTTGCTAAGTGAGAAATTTGTTAAGCCCCATTTTACATCTTTTCTCGTCACATTTGTTAAGTGAATCACTGCAGCTGTTAAGTTAATAACATGGTTGTTACGTGAATCTGGCTTCCCTGTTGATTTTGCTTGTCAGAAGGTCTCAAAAGGGGATCACATGACCCCGGGATGCTGCGACCGTCATAAATGTGAGTCAGTTGCCAAGCATCCGAATGTAAATCTCGTGACCCTGGGGATGCTGCAGTGGTCATAAGTGTGAAAAATGGTCATAAGTCACTTTTTTCAGGGCCATTGTAACTTCGAACGTCACTAAATAAACTGTTATAAGTCAAGAACTACCCTTATTATTGCAATTTGTAAGCTGTGAGCTGCAGTTTATGATAAAAGGGCAGGAACAGTGGTGTTGCAGATTAAGTGTCTTTACTTTTCAATGCTGACATGTCTTCGGAAAAGGCAGAAGGAATGGCATATCCTGGATGTGGGAGGGACTAGTTGGCTGGCTAGCTGGAGTTTTCACGCTGTCGTGTTTTATAGTAGATATTCCATATTGTCAGCTTTTTTTCTTGTTTTGTTTTGTTTTTTTTCAAAAAAATAAAAAACATAAGCACAGGGATCTTGCACACTAATAAGGAAAATTGTTCTGGGTGTGATTTAGCATGTTGTAGGAGCCAGCCAGGGTGGGCTAGAAACCGTTATTGATTACTTAGTTCCGTGCTTCCAGACCCAGAATTCCCCAGCCAGAATTCTGGGAGTTGAAGTCCACACAGCTTAAAGCTGCTGAGGCTGACAAACACTGGGGCAGAGGATGAATTTAAAATTGCCCAGGGCAGCAATTCCAAAAAATGAAAGATTATTCACCCCTTTAGATGTTTTCCTCCCCTTATATTCAGTCACTGCAGGCTGGCACGTAGAAACCACCCTCCATCTTGACTACCTAGGAAATGGCGAACTGCTTTTGCTGTCCACAGATCCAGAGCCACGTCAGCATGATGCACGCCCACTTATTTGGGGCCTATTTTGGCTTCATGGTCTCCTGGACGCTCCACCGCTCCTCACCGGGTCGGAAAGCTGAGAAGGAAAGATCCAGGCCCATCTCGGATATGTTTGCGGTGCTGGGTAAGCAGTTTGCTTTGGGCAAGAGATAAAGGTCAAATGGTGTCCTTCCTGGGGCTGAATCTCATGCATGCCCACCAAATTAGGAGGTTCCCGTTTTGGCTAGCGGTATGGCATCCAGCGTAGGACATATTGCTCAGCAGTTGACATTTGATTTTTGTCTCTTGTTTCAGCATGACGCTGGAAATTTAGCTGCTAACATGGAGAGGTGTATTGATAGTAGTGGTGACTCAGTGCCTGGCTTTTATGGAGGACATTAGATCGGTTCCGATCTGGATTCAAGCCCACTTTTCAGATTTGCGAGTGCCTTGGCGCTTGGATCCTCAAGAGACTGATTGTGGAAACCCAGAGGTTTGCAAAAGACTAAGGACCACTCTCCAATCAGTCATTTGTCTGAAATGGTATAGGGCAGACATGTCAAACACAAGGCCCGGGGGCCAGATGCGGCCCGCGAAGTGGTTTCATGAGGAAACAGTGAGGGAACGGCCCCTGCTGCCTTGGCCCTGGCCCAGGCTGGCCAGGAGCCAATGTACAATTTTGTGGTGGCCATCTATGCTGAAACGCATTCAGTCTTAGCTCCACAAGGCCATCTGGAAACAGCGAGGAACAGGCCCCTGCCGTGTCGGTCCCGCCCCCTGGGTGCATGCTGGGGAGGTGTCACCCTTTGTGAGGAATGAAGAAATGCACCATCGCCTGGAAGTGGCCAGCAAATGGCCCTCGCCTACTTCACATATCTGGCTTGATGGGCTCCGGTGGAGGGGTTTCAGCAGGCAGTGAGGCTCCTCCAGTGGACCATGCCTTGGCACTTGCCCCGGTCCCACCCCCTTCTGCCAGAGACCCTCAGATCTGTCCCACTCCTGCCCAGGCCCCCACAGGCACCCTTGACGTGAACGATGTAGAGCTGGCCATGCCCACCCAATAGGCCACACCTACTCTATCCACACCCACCCAGTAGGCCACACCCCCCACCCCCTCCCGAGGGCAACCGCAATGCTGATGCGGCCCTCAATGAAATTGAGTTTGACACTCCTGGTATAGGGTTACCTGCCTGAGCAGGGGGTTGGACTTGATGACCTCCAAGGTCCCTTCCAACTTTTTTATTATTATTATTATTATTATTATTATTATTATTATCATCATCATCATCATCATCATCATCATCATCATCATCATTATCCAGACTTAAAAAGGAAATATAAGAATAATATTAAAAGGGAAGGGCTATGCTGCAAGACAGTGTACAAGTAGCTGTCAACAGTCATTCATTTAGCAACCATTCAAAGATACAACAGCACTGAAAAAAAAAAAGACTTATGACCAAGCCTTGCACTTACAGCCACTGCAGCATCCCTACAGTCGTGTTATCCAAATTTGGGTTCTTGGCAACCAGCACGATTTACAATGATTGCAGCATCCTAGGGTCATGTGATCATTTCTGACTTTCCCAGCTGACGCCTGTCAAGCCAAGTCAACGGGAGAATCTGGATTCAGTTAATGGCTGCCTGATTCACTTAACAACTGCAGTGGTTTGCTTAACAACATGGCAAAGATCGTAAAACGTAATACTTGCCTTGCTTAACAATGAAAGTACTGGTCCCAATGGTAGTCGTAACTCAAGGACTACCTGTACTCGTTATTTCAGATGGATCACACATAGATACGCTTAAAAAATGAAAAAGGGCACACATTTGCTCACCACAGAACTGCAGAATTGGAGAAGATCTGCAGAGTGTGAGAAAACCAAGGCTTTTGAAAGGTGGCTATCTAACGCAGGGGTCTTCAAACTTGGCAACTTTAAGACTTGTGGACTTCAACTCCCAGAATTCTGGCTGAGGAATTCTGGGAGTTGAAGTCCACAAGTCTTAAAGTTGCCAAGTTTGAAGATCCTTGGTCTAACCCAGTGATGGCGAATCTTTTAGAGACCGAGTGCCCAAACTGCAACCCAAAACCCACTTATGCATCGTCGGGTGCCGGGTGGGTGTGGCCCATTAGGTGGGTGTGGCCCCTTGGGTGGGCGTGGCTGCGGTGGTAACGGCAGACTGGGTGGGACTAAAAAGTTCAATCAATCAATTCCAACTTTGCAAGATCTTTTTTTTTCCCCTGAGAAGTTGAATTTGACTGATTGATTGAACCTTTTTTTTTGCACACAGCGGCGGAGGCCTAAAGCGAAAAGGTTTATAAAACCCAGCTGAAGGCCTAGGAGTGGGGCGATGGTGCGCGTGCCCATAGAGAGGGCTCTGAGTGCCGCCTCTGGCACCCGTGCCATAGGTTCGCCACCACTGATCTAACCACTTCTTAAAAATCTCCAAAGATGGGGAACTGATAATCTCAGTTAATAGATTTTCCACTGTTGTACAAATCTTACCGTCAACAAAATCTGGGTCAGTGTTTCTTAACCTTGACAACCTTAAGCTGTGCGGACTTCAACTTTCTGAGAGCTGAAGTTCAAACATTTTAAAGTTGCCAAGGTTGAGAAACACTGATTTAGGTAGTTGAATCTGTTACAGCCTGCTTATTTCTGGTCCTGGTTTCTATGGCCATAGAAAAGAATTGGTCATCCTCTTTACAGCTTCTCTTTAAGTAGCTGGACATGGTTATCGCACCTTCAAACAATTGTCTTTTCTTCGGACCGAACATCCCACATTCCTTCAGTCACTCCTCTTCCACTGCTCTGCTATATGATTCTCCCTTGCACTTACAATAATGTAGAAGGCAGAGCATTCAGTCTGGCCGATGAAAAAGCTGATGGGTGAAGCAGCCACACAGTACTGATTAGATCAGTGATGGCGAACCTTTTAGAGACCGAGTGCCCAAACTGCAACCCAAAGCCCACTTATGCATCGTCGGGTGCCGGGTGGGCGTGGCCCATTGAGTGGGCGTGGCCCATTGGGTGGGCGTGGCTGCGGTGGTAACAGCAGACTGGGTGGGACTAAAAGTTCAATCAATCAATTCTAACTTTGCAAGATCTTTTTTTTCCCCCGCGAGAAGTTGAAATTGACTGATTGATTGAACCTTTTTTTTTTGTACACGGCGGAGGCCTAAAGCGAAAAGGTTTTATAAAACCCAGCTGAAGGCCTAGGACTGGGGCAACAGCGCACGTGCCCACAGAGAGGGCTCTGAGTGCCGCCTCTGGCACCCGTGCCATAGGTTCGCCACCACTGGATTAGATAATTTAACAAGTATAGAAGAGCTTTTGAACTGGCTTAGCATTGGTTATTTGTATAGATCATTACTAAATCCGTCAAGGATATTTGCAAGGCATGGTCAGAAAAGTTAAGATAACTAGCCACAACAGTGCAACCCAAGTTCTGCCTGTTTTTATCCCCCTTGTGTATGACACACACACAAAAACAGGTGGAGCTTTGATCATAAGGTTGTGGTTATCTTGATTTTTCCAAGCATACTCTGCAGAAACCTTTGTCCGTGGTTCCTTTAATTAAGGATTAGCATACTGTCCAAGTACAGTTACAGATAAACGGACAGATCATGAAAGAGAATGCCGCTGGAGCTGTAAAACTGAGCCCTAGTCTGTTGATATTTATTTACATTTTGGCAGAGATCCCTGTTTGGGAGGATTATGACTCTGCTCTGAGCACAGCTATCTTAGAAAGAGCTCTGAGGCATTGCTTTCTGTTCCAAGAGATAAGCAGGCTTCCTTCTTCCTAGAAGGTCAAGGACAGGGAACACCCATCCAACTGGCATCTGGATCTTGCATGCAACTTATCAGCCTCTCCGTGTTAACAGAAAATGTCTCTTCTTGAAAACCTATAATAAGAATTAACAATCCGGGGAGATGCTCTTTATTTAAAATGTTGGTTAATATTTATAATAGTCTAATAGTCCTTGGGAGCAGGATTCCTATCACTAAGTGATGCGGTCATACAATGCAACATCACATGGCTCCATCACTTAGCAACAGCAATCCCAGCACTGCCAACTGCCATCATAACCCCAAGATATGCGGGTTCTTAAGCAGCAGGTGGCAGGAATTCTACACCAGGGCTTTTCAACCTTTTCACCCATTGNAGATAAGCCGAAATTTTTGCCATTTCAGCAAGATGCGAAACCTTCAATCTCCAGTCCTCCATTGTAGGTAAAACTTTACTCTTCCAATTTTGAGCTATCAACAAACGGGCAGCAGTTAAACAATACAACATCAAATTCGTTTCTTTTACATCCAAATTATGTGTAATACCTAGGAGAAACAACTGAGGCAAGAAAAAAAATCTTCTTTTAAAAACTTGCTGTAGATTCCACCATAGTTTTATCCAGAAGGCCTTAATAACCTTGCAAGTCCACCACATATGAAAAAAAGTTGCATCTTGTTGTCCACACCTCCAGCACTTGGATTCATAATTCTCATAAATGCGAGACATAGTTGCAGGATCCATGTGCCATCTATAAAACATCTTATAAAAATTCTCACGTAAATTTTGTGCCTGCGTAAATTTCACATTTCTCACCCATTACTAAATCCATCAAGGATGTTTGCAAGGCATGGTCAGAAAAGTTAAGATAACTAGCCACAACAGTGCAACCCAAGTTCTGCCTGTTTTTATCCCCCTTGTGTATGACAGACACAAAAAAACAGGTGGAGCTTGGATCATAAGGTTGTGGTTATCTTGATTTTTCCGAGCATACTCTGCAGAAACCTTTGTCCGTGGTTCCTTTAATTAAGGATTAGCATACTGTCCAAGTACAGTTACAGATAAATGGACAGATCATGAAAGAGAATGCCGCTGGAGCTGTAAAACTGAGCCCTAGTCTGTTGATATTTATTTACATTTTGGCAGAGATCCCTGTTTGGGAGGATTATGACTCTGCTCTGAGCACAGCTATCTTAGAAAGAGCTCTGAGGCATTGCTTTCTGTTCCAAGAGATAAGCAGGCTTCCTTCTTCCTAGAAGGTCAAGGACAGGGAACACCCATCCAACTGGCATCTGGATCTTGCATGCAACTTATCAGCCTCTCCGTGTTAACAGAAAATGTCTCTTCTTGAAAACCTATAATAAGAATTAACAATCCGGGGAGATGCTCTTTATTTAAAATGTTGGTTAATATTTGTAATAGTCTAATAGTCCTTGGGAGCAGGATTCCTATCACTAAGTGATGCGGTCATACAATGCAACATCACATGGCTCCATCACTTAGCAACAGCAATCCCAGCACTGCCAACTGCCATCATAACCCCAAGATATGCGGGTTCTTAAGCAGCAGGTGGCAGGAATTCTACACCAGGGCTTTTCAACCTTTTCACCCATTGTACCACTTTTAGGATAGGGCAACATCCGAGTACCACCAGTCGCCTAGCAAGGTGTCAAAAACTTGATGACCCCCCCCAAAAAAGGAAAAAAGTGATGAAGTACAGGTAGTCCTCGACTTACAACAATTCGCTTAGTGACTGTTCAAAGTTACAATGGCACTGAAAAAAGTGCCCCCAAGGAACAGCCGAGCAAGACACCTGCCTGCCCGCCCGGCGGCGCTCTTCCTCCTGTCCGAGGTTTTCATTGTTGTGAGCATTTCTGTTGAGGATTGGCAGCAGGGGTGGGGTGGTGTTTGGTTTTTATTCCCCCCCCTGTCTGCTGGGTGGTTGCAGCAGGTTTTGGTCACTTCACATGACCCTGGGACACTGTGACCGTCATAAATATGAATCAGTTGCCAAGCATCTGAATGTAAATCACAACACCCTGGAGATGCTGCAACATTCCAGCTGATCGGCGCTTCTTCTGGGCTCAGCAGAAGTGCCAGGATCAGCGCCGAGCTCCAGCTGGAGCCTGGCGCTGATCCTGGCGCTTCCACTGAGCCCTGACAGTCCCAAAGAAGCACCGATCCTGGCGCTTCCGCTGAACCCTGACAGCCCTGCAGCTCCAGCCATCTCTCACTCAGACTTGTGCGGTGCTGCCATCGGTTCAGCTCATTCCCCTTCCCCGCTACTTTTCTAGGATGGTCACGTACCACCTGCCAGGTGCCAATGTACCACAGGTGGTACCCATACCACTGGTTGAAAAGCCCTGTTCTACATAAGGAGTGCCGGGGTGCCACAGAGGGTGTGGGGAAGGCCAGTGGTGGGATTCAGCCGGTTCTCACCAGTTTGGCAGAACCGGTAGCTAATTTTGGGGGGGTTCGGAAAATCGGCTGGAGGAGGCCTCCCAGGCCTAGAACGGCTCACCGGAAATGTGTGGATTCTGCTTCCCGAAGTCTGTTCTAGGCCTTGGATGCCCAGGCCTGCATCCACGCAGAGAATCAGTTGAATCCCACCACTGGGGAAGGCCCCGGCTGGCTCAGGTCATGCATGAGCACAGGGAGGCGGATTGGGGGACTTAACCAGAGCGACCTGCAACTTTTCCTGCCAGTTTCCCCATGGACTTTGCTTGCAGGAAGCTGGTAGGGAAGGTGGCATATCGCAGCGGTGCTGCGACAGCTGGAACTTTGAGAACTGGTTGTAAGTACCACTCTTTTCAGTGCCGTTGCAAGTTCAAATGGTGGCTGAACGAATGTTTGGAAAGCGAGGATTACCTGTCAACATAAAGGACTTAATTTAAGTCAAAAGTTACTTCAAGTCAAGGAGTGGATTTATATAGTGCAGAGGTAGGCAACTTTGTCTCTTTTATGATTCACGGACTTCAACTCCCAGAATTCCTGAGCCAGCATGGCTCAGCTTGGAAACCTCTCCCTTTCCCCTCAGCATGGCTGGCTCAGGAATTCTGGGAGTTGAAGTCTGTGAGTCATAAAAGAGCCAAGGTTGCCTACCCCTGATATAGTGTATTAAGCCAGCCAATGGGTGGTTTGGGTTTGGATTAGTATCTCTGGGTTGGTGTAGCATAGTGTAATATTTAATGTCACCTTTGTTCTATCCATATTACAAGAATCTCTCCAGTTTGCTTCCCTTCCCTTGGGAACAAACAGATAAGGTCCCATGGAACCTGGAGGTCCAAAATTTAGAGGAATAACCAAGATGTGCAAATCTACTTATCAGTGCAGAAGAACAGGTGAAAAGAGGATAAAAGGCAATATGAAATACTGGTATTATCAGCATTTTCCCGCGGCATCTTTCAAAATACTTATTCTGATCCCTGGTTGATAGAAGGATAGACGATGGAACAGTCTACTCTTTGCCAGGATAAATTCCAGACTTAAGACAGGCAATCCCCCATGTCTGCCATAAATTATAAGCCACTTAACACCTGTTATTTCTTTTCAAACATAACATTGCAAAGGGAGATTGGGTTACACAGCTCCTTGAGCAAGTACTGGTTCTGCCACTTAGTTTGACTGACAGATCAAATGTTCAGCATAGATTTAAAAAAAAGGGGGGGAGGGAACTACCCAAAGATGGGAAAATAATACTAGCACTTCCAGATCTGGGCTGCAAAACATCCAGATGTCCATTAGATGGCAGCAAAGAAACGCAGGAAAACTTAAATCTGATTTCAGGCTCCAAAAACCAAGAAAGTTGTTGAATTTCTTCTAAATCTAAGCAGTTTCCTTTATTGTTCCTCACCTATAGACAGAAATTTTTGCATCATTAAAGATATACTCTGAGAAACTTGAGGAAAGAGCTGTCTTGACTCTCTTCCTCCCAACCAAACTATCTAACTTTGCTGTCTCTTGTTCCTCTGGAATGCAGCCCCTCCCGCTTGTAGACTTCTACAATTCAAACCTGGAAACCCTGGTAGTTTGCTCACGGTATTCCAGATGCACAGGGAAAAATTGCTACAGAGAAGTGCTATGATAAGCAGAAGCAAGCCATATAGGCTTTATAAAGTTACATATTCCTGGACTACATGTCTCCATTCCTTATAAAATCAGACACTCCCTTTAGGTCTGTGTCTTTGGAGAAGTGGCAAGGAATGGCAAATTGCAAACACTGATTTGATTTGTTTGAGAGGACACGCCTGCTTGACTTTAGCATTCTTTGTGGGCATGGTGCATAATGCTAGGCCTTATCAGCATAACAGTGTTGGAAGGAACCTTGGAGGTCTTCTAGTCCAACCCCCTGCTAGTGAGGACATCTGGGTGAAAGAGGGTGCCAAAAACTGGAAGCTGAGATAGCCCCTTTGTCAACTAACAACTTTTATTAAGAGGCTGCAGCTCACAGAAGCTATTATTTAAAGAAAGGGCTTCCAGACTCCTGATTTTTATTGTAGTAGTAGTAGTAGTAGTAGTAGTAGTAGTAGTAGTAGTAGTAGTA